ATGCTGCAAGTGCTCTCCTAGCCTCTGGAACCAGAGAAGGTACCATTAGTATCTGGGATGTTGCAACAGCCACCGTGTTGCACCAATTGCCCTGTCATTCTGGGACTGTGTGTGAAGCTGCTTTTAGTCCTGGTATGTTGGATTTCTTTAATATGAGCCCTAGGGAGTTGACAAGGGAATCTCACTGACGCTTTCAGTTAGTATATTCCTGGTTCGGGGATTGTGAATATGAATATTATGATTATGAATATTAGGGCAACAAAGGGACTGGAACATCTCTTGTACGAGGAGAGACTGAGCGAGTTGGGCCTGTTGTCTCTGGAGAAGAGATGACTGAGAGGGGATCTGATTAGCACGTATAAGTACATGAAGGGGGAATGTAGGGAAGAAGGGGTCAAGCTCTTCTCAGTGGTGGCCAGTGACAGGACAAGGGGCAATGGGTACAGACTGAAACACAGGCGGTTCCATCTGCATGTGAGGAAGAACTTCTTCACCATGAGGGTGACAGAGCCTGGAACAGGCTGTCYGGGGAGGYTGTGGAGTCTCCTTCGCTGGAGATCTTCCAAACCCGCCTGGMTGCCRCCCTGTGCCCCGTGCTCTGGGTGTCCCTGCTGGAGCAGGGGGGTTGGACTAGATGGTCTCTAGGGGTTCATTTCAACCTYAACCATTCTGTGATTCTGTGATGAGAATGGTTAGGTAAGTTTTGACTCAGCTCTCCATTAACTTACTAGCAGTACCAAGGCTGTGCTAGACCCTAGACCTGTGCTGATCATTGCTTTCTTGGAAGACTTATTTGCAGATACTTTAGTGTAAATAAAATAGGTTAGGCACTGTCACATCCAGCGTGCTGGGTAGCCAGTTACTTTGCTAACTTTGACTGCATGCCTAAACGTGCTTCTTTTTTTCTTCTTTTTGGAGCAGATAGCAGGCATCTGCTGAGTGCAGGAGAGGACAGCTGTTTAAAAGTCATCGACGTGCAGACGGGAATGCTGATTTCCTCTGTAACCGCTGATGAGCCGCAGAGGTAACGCTGAGCAGCGCGTCAGGTTGCGTGGCCGGCGCGGGCGGGAGGCGGCTGCCTGGCTGCTTGGTCCAGCAGCTCTCGGGGAATTCCTCTTTTAGAGAACGGGAAGGGCAGCACTGCTAGAGGCTTCCAAGAAGTATCCCCCAAATCAATGGATCAGAGAGCCAACGCAATGCAAACACACAGGAAAGATGTGTGCTGTGGCCAAGGTTCCCACATGTGGGCGCAAACAAACAAACACCTTGTTGCTTTCAGACCACCTTCTGACATGCCCCAGGATAATGGCGAGAGCTGTAGCTAACAAGCCCTTGAGTTATGAACATTTCTAATGGGGAGACAGTTTCCTACTGGAATCATCTCTGGCAATAGTATTAATTTAGCAGCGCTTCCTTTTTGTTTGGATAAACTTAGAAAAGGCTGTCTGATATAATTAAACAGCAATTACTTAATACTTTTTGCATCTTTGCTAACTAAAATACATGCAGTACTATGTAGTTCAGCAGATAAACTGCTGGAATGGTTACTTAGTTACTGCAGTGAAAATACAGCAGCCAAATATAGAATCCTGTTATACTGAACATCRTGTTGGTTCCATCAGTATGTTTTGCAAAAGTATCCTGGGAAGTTATTTTTTTCCCATGTCAAATGACTGTTTCAGAAGCATGAAGTGACAAATGGAWACTGGTAGCTCATGAGAACTGCAGACAAATATTCCTGAATGGATCCTCCGGTGCAAGGGGCAGATATTTTATACCCCCTGGCAGAAGAAGAAGCTGCCTCTAGCGCAGTCAATAAATGCTCTGGACCATGACCATTTAAAATAGCTTGGGAATAACCTTTCCAGAGGGACTTGTTAAAAGTAGTGTCCACCTTCAGTTTTATACAGCCCTCTGCTCCTTTYTGGCTTAATTCAGAGGTGTCCTGCTCTCTGTATACAAGATTGAGGTGATTTGACTGGAAATCCTTTGCAGATGCTTCAAATGGGATGGAAACACCATCTTATCAGGAAGCCAGTCTGGTGAATTGCTCATCTGGGACCTTCTTGGAGGAAAAGTTATTGAAAGAATCAAAGGACATGCAGGTATTGCCTGAGCTCGTCTGGYACTCAAATACACGGCTCGCGCTATCTAAACGTGGCGCGTCTGGCAGTAACTGGTTCCTGATGTTAGTAATATCCAGAACTAAAGGTAAGTCCACTGCATTTTCCTAGGATATTTGTAACAGTGGAGAAATCTTGTCTTTTACAAGACTGACCAAAAGCAAACGATCTATGATGGACTGAGAGTGGAAGAGTAACAAGCAGTGGAATTTGTGTRGCCTCCCCAAAATCTCTCTCTCTGTATGGATAGGGATTAGAAGTCTTCCTGTGTGCCTATCTTCAGTGCATTAGCAACCAGCCTCTAACCAGCCCCTCAAGGCTCTTAAGGCTGCTTTCATGAACAGTTATTTCTGGCGTCCCCCATACCAGCTTGTGCTCTTGAACGTGCCCCACAGAGAGATCCTTCTGTTCTTAAAGTGGGCTTCTTGCCCTATGCTAGAAGTGAGATACTAATACAATTTTAATGGGGGGGGAAGTCCAAATGGCAAAGCCTAAATTTAACCTTTCTCAAGACATCCTAAGCCCTTCTTTGGCCATGSTGTTATCTGCATCTTGCCCTGCAATTCACATTCTGCCCCTGGTTCCCAAAGAACCCGAGGCAGTGGGGCAGAGTACTGCTGTGGGTAAGAATAGCAGTCCCCTCACAGCCTCATAGTGCGTGGTATCCATGCATMGATAGCTTGTATGCTGTCAGTGCAATCCAAGCTAATGATCCTAAATGGTTTTAAAAGATCTCATTTTGTCATCCTGCCACATATTCCACTAATACTGGAATCTCTTTTCCTGCGCTCAGGTGCAGTAACATCCCTGTGGATGAACGAGCAGTGCAGCAGCGTGGTGACGGGAGGCGAAGACAGACAAATCATGTTCTGGAAGCTGCAATACTAAGTGCCTGCCCCTCCAGCCATGGACAYGAACTCTTATTTTAAACCAAACCTTTTAAAGAACTTAACTGTGTGCAACGATGGCTGCTGAAGTCCCACCAGCAAGGAAGGTTGGTTCAGCTGCAACTTCCCAGGCTATCGTGGCTTCACTCAGAGCTCTTAACTTCCCTACTATCTGCATTGGTTTTTCATTGTACTTGAAAGTGCTTGACTTAAACGATATCAGAGATGAAATTAAAGACTTATTTTTCTGTAATTAAAGAGCTCTTAACTTGCAGTTATTGTTTGATTTGCATGACATGCAGCATCCCAAGAATTTGCCTTTTTAACTAAATCTTTAAGCAAGTTTGCAGCTCTGTGTCAGGTCTCCCTACAGCCCATGTCCACCTCTTGTAAACCTTTCTGGCCTGTGAAGATCTTTAGAAGCCACTATTACTGGAACACCTCTGAAGGCAGCTCTTGCTCAGAGCAGAGGGTGAGCTGGTTCCCCTAACTATTCTCTGCAAAGGCAGAGACAGGAAAAAGCCTGTTCTGTGTTACTTTTATCTGTTAAAGAAGGGGGAAAAAACTTGTGCTATTAGTTCTAATTCAAGTTCTCTGTTTGAWAACAGAAAAAGAAGTTTATTTTCTTTTTTCCTAGGCCTGTTCCTCTTCCCTGTCTATCTTTCTATCCTATTACTTAACTAAGCTACTCTTTTAGCCACCTGGCCTTAGAGGTGGTCAGACATGTGTCTCGTTATGCCAAGGAGGCCCCAGGGCAGGTAGCTCTGCTCCTGTGCTGCAGCCTCTGTGCGAGTGGGAGAGGAGCAGAGCAGASTTGAATGGAACGGGTGTGCTAAGGGACGAGGAGAGGCTACAGCTCCTGCCTGCAGCAAGGCCACCGTCCTCCTCCCTCTAAACGAGGCCACCACCTCCTGCCCCTCTCCGCTTCCTGTCTCAAGGGTCCTAGGGCTGAGGCAGTAGCTCAGTGACCCTATTAAGTATCTCCTACGATAAATTTCATCACGATTACAAACACCTAAGAGAGCAAGGAGATGTAATAGCTACATATAAGCCCTAACAAATTCACCTGAGAAAGCAGCAACTATAGCAGAAAAAGCTTCCTGCCCTGAAGCCACCCCACGTTCCTGCCAGCAGAGTTAGTTCCAACCCCAGCTGCACAGGCAGCTCATCCAGGAAGAAACTAAGAGTCCAACCCGAGGCCTTGCACCTCTTTCCGCTTTTATCTTTTGTAAATAAACACACACACAGACCCATTTTGCACCTGCTGTGCAGTAACTCACTCTAGGAGCTCCTCTATTATCCTGTCAAGTGTTATGGCAGTTCAAGGAGACAGGCAAGCAAAGAAGGTACCATCCCTCTCCCCCACCCACATGCCAGGGGCAAGTTTGGAAAGASCAGCTGCACTTATTTCACCCCTGAGCCCTCTCTTGCCCTCCGTAGTAATAATTTAACTATAAACTAGCATCAGAGCAGGCTAAGTGAAATTCAAACACACACATGCCCACAACCAAAAACATAAGAACAGCTCAGAAGTCTTAAAAATAGACCAAAACATTAAGAAAGGATGCTACCTAAACTAGTACAGTTAAGTACTAGTCAGATCACTTCCAAATCTCACTTTGTTGGCTCCAGCATTAGAGAAAGCAAATTATACCATTAGCATGTCTCATTAAGTAAAATTAAAGAATATATTCTTGAAATGTGTTGGAACGGTAGACGCTGGCTCTAAGCAGGGTAAGGGCAAGCTTGGAAGTGATCTTAGACTGCATTTCATGGCCTCTTGCTGCTGGTGGTGAAGGCTGCCTTATCACAGCTGTTTCCTTGCACCTCTGATAAGCACACACATCGCCCCGAGGTTCAGTCATTTATTTGGTTATTTCTGAATCCTTAAGAACATGGTTAAGGCAAGATATTAAGCATATTAATTACAATTTGTATAACAAGTAATAAAAAGATCTGAGTATATATGTACACTACTTAATATGCTCACTGAATGTCATTAGCTCTATGCAGCTTAGCTGGCATTCTTGTATAAACATCATCTACCAGAACAAAAAAGAGACTAGTACTAGCCATGTTTCTAACATGCTATCCCAAATCTACTCTTGCTAACAGAAAGCAATAAAAATACTCATTTTGTCTGAAAGTACAAAGCACAGCATTGTTCTAGGGGTAGGGAACAACACGTAACTTTGCAAGTGAGAGCTGGTTCCTTTAGTTGCAATGGCTTAGAGGAGTAGTAAATTAAGAGATCTAATAGAAGTCAGAACACAACCGGAATTTCACATTTGTCAAGCATGTAAGGCTACAAGTTTTACAGTGTGTGAATAAACAAGATAGAGCGTGTTGACCTGTAACATTCCCAGCCATAACAGATGCAGATGCTTGATGCAGCATAAGCTCCTTGGGGCCCTCCAGAAAGGCTCATGTGCAGAAGGAAAATCACTGAGTAGAACAGCCCAAGTTGAGTGGAGATTTCATTAGGTATGTACAGACAGAGCCTCAAGCTCAGACTTCAGGAATCGAGTGATCCATCAGGCTTTTCATAATGCTAGTTGCCATCCTAGAGAGAAGGACGAGACGTTGAGTTTTGWTTGACAAACATGAACTGAAGCAGATGAAACTCTCAGCCTACCCCGTATCATACCAAGAATTATGGTTGTCACACTGAAGTGCATTAGAAATAACCTTTAGTTGTAAGGTAACTAACAACTTGTGCTATCCACACACTTCAAGAGTTCTTGGAGACTCGAGTTTAGCCAAGATACATTTAGAACTAGTTGGATTCCTCAAAAGAAGGAAAAGTGTTCCCAGGCTAGCAACAGTTTACAAACAGGACTAGCACACCAGCCGCAATGCTAACTTCACACTCAGGGCAGGACATCACAGTATTTTATTTAACCTGAAAAACAAAGCAATCGTCATATTAATTGTATATATACACACACACTTTTTTAAATTAAAAGCACCTACCTCTTTATTATATACTCATAGATGGTGGAAGGCATGATGGTGATGGTCACTACATTCCCAGCTGTCGCCAAGATGTCTGCTATCTGGGGGTCCTGTCATTAAACAAAGTCTCATGARCAACACAACCCACGAGGATTAACGGGGCAGCAGGTAGGGGGGTGTTCCTCAACAGCCTTGTACAGCTTCAGGGASCCACAAATCCTTGTTCAAGGTTTTAACCTCAGGATAAGCCAGCGACTGCCCTACTGATAGAGCTTCATAAACGTTTAGTTACCTTACACATCCCGATTTAGGAAGGAATACTTACACCCACAAAACTCCTGTGTTTATGCCATGGAAGTTAGCTAAATATAAACCCCGAGAATCAGCCTAATACATGKGAAGGAATTACTTGTTCTGCCTAGAGATATAAAACTGCTGAACAAACTTGAAATACTTTTCTCTCCAGAAAAATACATTAAGAAAAACAGAAAACATGAAACTATGAATATTCAGCATTACATTCTAACCCTTGTATGTAAGCACACAGTCTTATTTTACCTTCAATCCAATTACATTCTGGCCGTTGATTTCACAGATGTTGTGCTCCGTGAGAAGCCCATTTCTCGCAGCAGAGCTGTCCTTCACTATTGAAGTTATTTTTCCATTCTTGAATATGAAACCAACGTGGCCTGTGCTGTCTTTATGCATAGTAATAATTCGTTCAAAAGGCCTATGAGAAAGACAGACACTTACACACAAGAACATATTCCCAGTCTACTAAACCACAAAAATAAATCAAAATACTGTTCCAGTGTCTTTGACTTTAAAAGGGGTTTATAAAGCAACACTCACATCTACTCACATCACAGTAGTTGGATTTTGTGGCATTTTTGAGAGGACAGCTATTCTCTATCTTAATCTCTTCTTTGCAGGCTGTGACACAAGTATGTAAACTTGTTTCTAATCCTATTCTACCCATATTCCATCCTCTGTGTAGATATTAAAGTAAAAGCAAATAAAGGAGTAGTGCATTAAAATGTAAATTTTGTCTATGCATGTTAGAAGGCAGCTGAACTAGTGCAGGCAGTTTTGACACCTGTAGAGAGACTGCAGAACCCCATCAGGACTGCCACTGCCCCAAGGTTTTATAAGGTTGGGATTTAACAAGCTACTAAACCCAGCAAAGGGCTGGGAGGACGAGGAAGTGGCAGGTAGAACAGGGCATCTCCTGGCCACAGCACTTCCATTTAGGAAGCGACAGCAGGAGTATGTTAATGACCGTACTTTATCAGGTTCAAGAAGCAACACCATAACACTATTTTTGGTTTTAAAAACAAAACAACACACAATCCCCACCACACACACACACACACACACACACACATTTCTGAGGACATGTACTTACTCAAATCCCATCATGTTTCTTTTATAGCCTACAGGCTTTGTGTTGAGTTTCTCGCATTAGCATTACATAAACTATATGCTCAGATCTAGTAACAGAAACTGCTATCAGCTCCTCRAGGCTCCTTTCTTTGAAGCTGGCATAAATCATACGTAAGCAGAGCTCACAAGAAAGCTACCAAGCACAAAGGACATATTTTCTTTAAAAGTTTACAGGTTAGGAATTATTTCCACTGCAGTGCATGAAAGAGAAGYGAGTATTAAAGTCCCTGAGAAGTGCTCTGCAGACAGGCGGTTTTTGCAGTGCCTGCAGTGCTTCAAGCAAGCAGATGCTCACACGCTACAGAGCTACCCTGAAGTGAGTAACCAGCACTGCCCCTCTATCTGTGGTGATTTTACCTGTCCCGAATGATCATTGAGATTCTCTCTCCAGAAGCCTGTTTGAGAACTTTGTGTGCTTTATCAGAGCTCCATCCTGCGCAGTTTTCACCATTGATCTGTAGAACTTGGTCCCCAAACCGCAGACCAGCTAGAGAGGCTGGAGAGTTTGCCTGTACTAACTGGACAAATATACCCTGCAAAGCAAGAAAGGGCAAATACAAAAACAGAAATAATCTTCTTTAAACATAAGCCAGTAACAGAACACACAGCCTTTAATTCCTCCATTTCCAATGTAACACCAACCAAATGGATAAAAGGACTTAGTCATAACTCTAAGATGCACTTTGAAACCTTAGTCCCATTTCTAGAAGCCTCTAAGACTGTGAAGGATAATTAATGCTGAAATAAAGTTAGAAAGAAGGATTTAATACTCCTTTCAGTAAACACAAGCACAATAAGTAATATTCTGTTTTAGTAAGTCCAAACAACTAGATCAAGTACTGACAGGGTGGGTAAGATGCGCTTGCACATTTAACTAAAATTTCCCTTCTAAGGCACCAAAAGTCTATTTATGTTTGGAGAAATACATCAGCAATGCCAGAAATTCTATAGAAACTTTTGCAGTATTTTTCAACACTGTTAGTTTTCAACTGCAAACTGCTAATGACTTGCTAGCATTTTAGTTAACAAGGTGCTAAATGTTATTTTCATGGTGGTACCTCCAAAAACAAGTAAAGCATGTCATGCAAGTTCAACGAAGAGATAAACATTATTTTCTTTATTAAGTATAGGGACAAAATAATAGGAAATCTCCTAGCATCTCCTATGTTAGGAGGGCTACAGAGCACTTTAAAACACTTCAAAACTTTAATTCAAGTTTCATTTTTGTTGTTTGGCAAAATGGTCTGGCAAGAGAGAGAGAAGTAGCACTTTTCCACATTGAAAATTAARAGAGATCAAAACATAGAATCTCCAGAGCACTTCTTGCAGCTTCATCCAGGGTAACTGAAATCAAAAAAACCTACTATGAAATTACTCCTTATACTTGGTGAAGATGAGACTTTCTGTCCTCTAACATATCCAGCAACACACTGGAACAGTACAAGAGAACGTACTTATAACCTCCAGCTACTTTCCTGTAATAACTGCAAGTACTACCCAATGTTCTCACAAAAATGGAGGTAAGAATTCTGAACTACTAACACGAGGGTAGAAATAGCTGCTGTAAATCTAGAAGCAAGACTAAACAGCTTAAGCCCTCTACATTTCTGATCCACAGGAAATTTTTCAAAGTTGATAATGGATAAATAAACTTACACAGCCCAAGTTATCTAGTGTAATTCTAGTGTAAAGTTATCTAGCCCAATGTCACTCCTAGCCAGTCTCAGCAGTAGCTTTCTACAAGCAGAAGCAGCCTTCTAGACTCACGTTGTCAACAGACTTAAGGCGAAGTCCAATTTTGCCATCTTGGTCCTTACACAAAATTGTTTCCCGGATGCCTTGCTTAATTTCTGCTCTGCGAATTCCAACATCATTTCCAGTCACTGGAGCTACCATGTAATTTGTAGAAGGTCGTGTTACCAGTTGCTGATTAAAACAAAACAGTCAGACAGTTTAGTCTCAACTTTTGTTAGTAGCCGCATGTGTCTTCCTACCAAGCAACACTTAAAAGCACAAGCTAGACCATAACATCAGTTTCACTCCCCACCCTCAACATTGGAAATATATAGTATTCAGTTCTTAAAAAGCACAGCAAATAGACACCAATACTTCAAAAAAAAAATTAAAAAAAAAAATCAATTAAATATGGCACTTAGTGGTCTATTATCTGGAACATTTAATCTTTTTTTTTTTTTTGTTCACCAAATTACCCTTGACTGGTACCTACACCCTGTGATTCAGCAGCTGCTGCCACTGGCAAGTTTCTCTGCACCTCTTCTTCATTGAGGCTCAGTCCCATGTACTGAGAAAGCTCTGGATACAGTCTTGGATACAAGCCTACAAGAAAGACAGAAAAATAAATTTGCTTTATTGCTTTCACACAGTCATTAATTCAACAATTTTTGTGATGTGGTAACATTACTCTTGAAAACCTGGCTGAAAGACCAGAATTTGAATCAGGACTGTTATTCTACCTCAGTTTAGAAAAGTAGTAGTTCTTTTTATCTTAAAAAGAAGTTATTTTTATCTTAAAAAAAAAAAAAAAAACTCCTAAACTTACAGAGAACTTCCAAGTTACATCCTTAATACATCAGCAACATCAGATACATGGTGATAAGGAGATCTGAAAGCAAGGACATGCTCCAGTCTATGGAGACATGCCTTTCCTCCAAAGCTTTTGGGCAAATGGTGAGGAGCTAATGGAGAATACAGGCAACATTAAAGATAGTATAAGAAGGCAACAGAATTGACACATAAATGCTAAAGGACAGCATTGTCAAGAAGGATCCATATCAAATACACTCTAAACTCCAGATACAGTAAATTCCTATAAAATGCAGGAAATTAAGGTTTACAGTGAATAACATTTGTAAGAGTAGTTGTCATTTTCCACACAGTTTCAGAATGAAGTCTTTTCAGACACACATCCACACATCTATGTCTATAAACAAAGCCCTTAAAATATAATAGAAAGTTGCTCTCTCCCCCTCTCCTTCCAGGGAAGGGAAGGAAGCTAAATTGGCAGATTTGACAGACCTTTATTCAAGCTACTTTGGAAATGAGCTTGATATGAGTTTTAGCACCTTTTGCTTATCCRGGGTATGTTATTCAACACGTGGCAGGTAGAAGAAACAAGTCCACCAGCCATTTTGACTAGATCAATGGAGACTAAAAAGACTGCTCAGAGGAAAGCAAGGTGGTACAGAGGACAGTCTTAAGAGAAAGGAAGGGCTCACCAACTGACAAAAAATAGTTTTCTAGGAATCATTAAGGTGTTGAATATGAAAACAGCAAGGCTGCACATTTGACCAGGAACAGAAAATGACTAATTGGGAAATGAGCATAAAGGTGAGCACCTTGGCAAGGTAAGGGCTAACACAAGAGAAAATTGCTTTTGCTCTGTAAGAGATTTAGGGGTCAATTTTGCTTCCTATTTCACATGAGTTCTCATCTCATTTCAAGATTGAGATACTGAAGTTTTGTCGATAAATAAGCTCTTATGCATTTTTCAGAGCTCTAGTATTATATACCCTTAAAGTTGTAGAACACTTTTACAGCTACTTTATTCTTCTCTTTTGTTCTTCCAGGAGAATGCAGGATGCATCTTYACTGGCTATACTGCATTCTCATTTAGAGCACTGAATCTTCCTAGTAGCAGAATATGCCTTGGTGTTGTATATTCTCCGGCCTCTGCCAGGACAGACCAATTCTCCTGCAGGATTGACATGTCCTACCGACTGACCTCTCTTCCTTTGGAATATTTTGAGTGATCAGTCACTTTTCAGTCACACATAGCTCCAGAGATATTAGCACACAAGTTGATGACAAAACTATGAAATATGGCCAACAATAGGGTATGCACAAAAACTGCAAGACAAATTAAATTAGAGACAGCAGAATATACAACCAAGAAGCTAAAGCTAACAGTGTAATCAGACAGTGTTAGGACAATCTATATCAAGGTCAAACTTTTGCTGTCTTCTATCGCTTAAACATTCAGGTGATAAATGCTACGTGAGGCCTCCTTGGAAAGCGTTTCAGGTCCACAACTTGAGAGACTTAGACAACTTGGGGAGAGATGACCATTTGTCACAACTTGCTTCGGGAAGTAAGCACCGTTTTGTGAWTTCTAAGGCTTCCCCATCACGCGGTGGTTTTTCTGTGCACTTCACACCTCCTCCCCCCAAAATAACAAAGTAATGTCTCAACCTAGGTGAATAAAGTATAAAGCTACATTTTATAAATAGTTGATTGTTTTGGAACTTCAGTACTTCCTAACTGCTTTCCAAAATGCTTAGGATACTRTACAGCACATAAGCTTACCTCCATCTTGAGGAATGGGAGCAGAGGCTTCAGATAAGATTGCTAGATTAGCTGTGTTTGAAGAAAAGGCTGTCTGAGCCTAAAAGCAAAGAAACACATATGTATTATCTTGTACAAGATGGGAGGAAAAAAGAAAATGAAGCCAGGAGACAAAGTATTTTTTTAAAAAAATACTACTTATCATTTATCTTAACACTCTAAGCTCTTTTTTTTTTTTTTTGAAATAACTTCAATGCTACTGTAACACACCAAACTACTTCAACAGATCACCTTCCACCTTCCTCAGAAAAGGAACTGCAGTAGTGTCGAAAGACTTTGCTGTCATTCCAAGTTTTGGTTTTATTAAGTTAGAGAGCTTAATATTTCCTTAAAATGCACATTCACTAACAGAACTTCAGGTAAGTTTACATTTTAAAGTATGGGCTTCTGTAGAGTATTTGTAATAGTTTTTATTCCAGCTGAATCACATCAGTTGTGATACCTGCAATTTGCAGGGCCTATTCATGAGTTAATGTCTCAGCCCCTTATTGCTTGCAAATTACTACCACCATAATGTTAAGAAAGCACTAGTTTAATATCTCTGAAAGAATGGAGTGTTTTAGATTTTTTTTCCCCAAAGAGCTCCAAAATGCCCAGCTTTACAGCTAGCACATTGATTTCAGAAGCTTCTATACTGCTCATTGGCTTGCAATATAAGAAACTGATGTCTTCTTCAGACATCACTGAAGGAGAAGGATGACAAAGCATCTGATAAGTGTCTGCAAATACCTCAAGGGAGGGAGTGAGAAGGATGGGACTGRCCTCTTTTCAGTGGTGGACAACGATAGAAATAGAGGAAATGGCCACAAACTGAAGCACCAAAAGCTCCACAGGAAGTTAAGGAAAAATTCTTAACAGTGAGGGTAACAGAGCACTAGAACAGGCTGCCAAGAGAGGTTGTAGAATCTCCTTCTCTGGAGATCTTTAAAACCCGCTTGGATGCAGCCCTGTGCCACGTGCTGTAGGTGACCCTGTGTGAGCAGGGGGGTTGGACTGGATGACCTCTGAGATCCCTTCCAACCTTAAGGATTCTATGATTATACAATTTCCTTATTTCCCAATAGATTAGCTCTCTTCTGTAGGGCCTTATGTACTCATAACCAGTGAAAAAACCTCTCTCACAGAGGCTTATTAGCCTGGATGGAAATAACTCTTCTGGTATCTCCACCACAGTTGAAAGACTGGGGGTGGGGGACAGAAACCACTAAATACTGAGTGAAACATCACGCAGAACAGGATATATGAATCACCTAATTCAACACAACAGTCAAGTTACCCAGTATTTGTAAAGAAATAATGCTTAAAAATAGTAGGCTTAGTAGTTCTCTCAAGGGATTTTTTTTTTTTTTTTTTTTTTTTAAGAAAGATTTTTTCGAGCAAAAGTGACTACCATCTACAAGGAAAGACTCCAATTCAAATGCTGGACAACAGAAATAACCTAAAATATTTAGTATAACTAGTGCTTCTAGTTTAACTAACAGTCCTTTTCATCTCACTCATTTGACATTAGAGATTTAGTCTCTCAGTACTCTGCAACCTTCCCCCAGTAAATTGTGTACAGTCTCTGCTGTACGTAATCAAGATCTGCACATTGCACTTACACAAAAGGCAAATGATTTAGGCTTTCCTAACAAAAAACAGTGCAACTGGAACAGCTCACTCTTGCAATAATGACGTTCTCTAGAAGTGTTTTTAATTCCCCATTGCAGCTCTATCTTGTACACAACCTAGTTCCTCCTAGAAGCGAGGCACTGTCACATAACCATTCAAGGACAAGTCTTTTGCCTTCATGATAGCAGTAAGAACACTCTTCCCTGGGGATCTGCAACTAAATGTTCCTGACTCCTTTCTGTCCTACCTCTGCATGAATTTCCTTACACACTTCTGTGTCCCATTTAAGTGGCAGTAATTCCTGAAATACTACTACAAATTTTGATTTGACAATTTTCAAACATGAGTCCACATATTCAGCACTTTCATAGAATCACAGAATGCCCAAGGTTGGAAGGGACCTCAGAGGTCATCTAGTCCAACCCCCCTGCACACGCAGGGTCACCTAGAGCACGTGGCACAGGGCTGCGTCCAAGCAGGTTTTAAAGATCTCCAAAGAAGGAGACTCCACAACCTCTCTGGGCAGCCTGTTCCAGTGCTTTGTCACCCTCACAGTGAAGAAATGCTTCCTTAAGTTCCTGTGGAACTTCCGATGCTTCAGTTTGAAGCCATTTCCTCTAGTCCTATCCCTGYCCACCACTGAAAAGAGGCCGMCCCCCTCCTCCTCACTGCCTCCCTTGAGGTATTTATACACGCTGATCAGGTCCCCCCTCAGCCTCCTCTTCTCCAGGCTGAACAGGCCCAGCTCYCTCAGCCTTTGCTCATAGGGCAGATGTTCCAGGCCTCTGATCATCCTGGTGGCCCTGCGCTGGACTCTCTCCAGCAGCTCCACATCACTCTTGTACTGGGGAGTCCAGAACTGGACACAGTCTCCAGATGTGGCCTCACCAGGGCTGAGTAGAGGGGGATGATCACTTCCCTCGACCTGCTGGAGACGCTTTTCTTAATGCACCCCAGGATCCCGTTGGCCTTCTTGGCCACCAGGGCACTTGTCATCCACCATGACACCCAGGTCCCTCTCTGCGGGACTGCTCTCCAGCAGGTCCACCCCTAATCTGTACTGGTGTCCAGGGTTATTCCTCCCCAAGTGCAGGACCCTGCACTTGCCCCTGTTGAACCTCATGAGGTTTCTCTTTCTGGGAAAATAATCTTTGGTATTACAGTGTCACTGAGGATTRCTAAATTAATAGAATAATCCGTCCTGCTCCCCACAGCAATGTCTCTGGACTTACTTTTATTTGACTGTGGAAAACCATAATGGAGCTGACAAAGGTGTAACCACATGAACATGAGCCTCTGCCCAAGTTAATAAGACCAGCTGAGAATGTGGACAAAACAATATAGCAGAAGTCTGTATAACCTTCACAATCTTAGACTCACAGTTTCATGTTTACAGGACTCACTACTCAAAGAAGATGTGATGAAATGCAGAGAGGGTATYGATGCTGAGTCCTGTAAACACGAAACTGCATGTCTAAGATTGTGTAGGTTCAGAGTTCAGAAGAGAGACTGCATTTAATTTCTTCATTACATCATGAATATTAACAGATGTACTATGAAAGATATAGCATGTTCTTGGCTCCAGACTGCTTTTTGTTTGAGCATTACCTAATGATAGCAAGAGGATTTTGGAAATAACAGAGTAACGTAGGGGACAGACACCAGCACAGCACCTATCACTTCAAGGCTTCCACCCCACACACAAAATAGTTGAGACCAAGGCATGCTACCAGGGCACAGCAAAGAACTTAAGAGGCTGCTCTGGCATTTGCTCACTTGCTTCCCAAGGAGATGGAAAAGGACACCTTAAGGCAGATTATAACTCATTTCTGTTGTTCAAACAGGAAAGTAATACAGCTGCTTTAATTAGAAGCTGCGAATCTTTTCTTTAAGATCAAGTTTCTGTGTTTATAATTCATTAAAATATCTTTCATTACTTGGTTTGACAAACATTTCTTTTGTCTTGTCTAATAATAAAGCTGCCAATGCCCTTCAGTGCAAAGAGCATTACACAAATGTGATAATCTAGAGCACTGTGAGAGCTAGTCTCTACCCTAAAGCAGCAAAGGACAAGTGTACAATAGTGTCCTGTAGTGTTAAGGGAAGCAGTACTGGTTTTCTGAGCCCAAGTCATGACAAAAGCTTTTGGTCACGGGTCTGAACATCAGGAATGAGACGCAGCAAGCTTACTACTTCAGCCGGGGACTGAACTCTGGAGCTGCCCCGTTGTGCAAGAAGAGACTATTAATGTTCATCTTATTAAGATCGTATTTTAAAAACTGCAGCACACAAATCAACACATCACAGAACTGTCTGAGTTAGCAGAATGAGTGCATTCAACAGCATTAATCACATTATACCAAATCATGACTGTTTCTTCCCTTTAGAGTATAAGGGCAAAATTTGCTCTGTTTTTGTCATTAAGTCTTATCTCAGGAGAATCTACCATGACATTTTACCATACCTGAATAACTTTGTCCACCTTCAGATCTTCCAGAGACGGGTAGAGAGACATTTTGATGTAATCTCACTAGGATAATAAAAGAAAAAAAATGTTCAGATATATCAGAAACATTTACTTAGTGTTATAACTTAAAGCAATAGCAGAGATGCAAAGCATTAGGCGAGCAAACTGTGAAGTTCTCAGCCGAACTGTGGCCTGCAAGTCTTGGCATTACCTGTATGTAGCAGTTGCAACTAAGCCCCATTAAGACAAGCCATTTAATGTTATCCACAGCTGCCTTTCTGTAATAGGCTTCACTTACTACACTCAGGATCATCAAGGCTTAGAACTCAGCTATGAAGAAAACCAGTGAAACTGTGCTCCAAAAGGCTTGCAAAGCCTTTAGGATGCTGGGATACAATAGTATAACAGGGCACCTAAACATCCCCCTCCTTGTAAGGAGAGGTTATTTTATATATGACTGTTGAAGGTTTCATACTGTCATCCAAACTGTCTAAAAGCAGGTTCTGAAGTTTTGCTAGGTAGTTACCAGAAGACAACTGGCTGCCAGGGTCCATTGGTGCCAGCTAGGCTGTGGCAAGAGAGCAGCGGCCAGACAGCCTCGAGCAGAGGAGCATCTCGAGGCATTTCMAGAGGCCGGGAAACTCCGCCTGCCTCTCCCGTGAGGCTGGGCCTTACTCCACCTGCCTCTCACATGACTCTGGGAAAGGCCCGTGGCAGAGCAGGGGAAACAGGGGACAAGCGCCCCCCACCAGCTCCCCAGGATTTCTAAAGCACCACAGAACCTTATTTGTGTAACCATTTAGAAATAACTCCAGGCTGAAAGGGACCACTACATAATAGCTATACGCAGAGAAGCTCGTAAATTTGCATTGATGAAAGACCCGATGCCTAATGTCATACTGCTTTAATACAAGAGACACCTTGTACCACATCAAGGTCGTCAACAATATTTCTAATTATTCAGCAAACTGCCTGACAGTTCCAGTGTCATGTCAGACCACAACCAGAGGAYCAAAAAGGCCAATAATCTGATATCAATTTGATCAACTATGCAGATGTCGTTTATTACTTTGTAAAAGCTAATTGTGACTGACACTTCCTGTCGAACTGTTCTAACTAAATCAAACATAAAAGAGCTTCCAGATATTAAAATTTAAATATGTACTTTTAAAAATATCAGTTTAAAATTCTGTTTTAAGTCAGTGTTGACCTGAAACAGTCACACATCTCCCCCTCATCAGAGGGGACAACAGCAAATTTAACTCCAAACCTGCTGTGTTCTGCTAACACTTTATATGCCAGGCAGAGAATAGCACAACATCTGTTGGGTTTCTGGTCCCAATGACCAATTTTTCTTCCACAAACCAMTTCCACTCTGCCCTGCAATTGCTGGTCATGTTTGTTGGAGAGGGCCATCACAAACCTCTTGTATGGACAAAGAGGAGCGTGGTATTTCCTGCAGGAGAGCTCTAGCAAAGATAAACACACATTTATTCTCAGATCGCTTAGGAAGAGCCTAAAGCCACACAGGCCACCTCATCTCTGACACTGTAGGCTCACAAGACCCAAGCACTTGTCAACACTACTGAGGGGCTCTTTGCTTCTGGGCTATAATATTCAAGGTTACTATTCTTGGGCTTCCAACTGTATGGCTAGAATAACCGTCACCACTGTAATTACATTTAGTGAGCAAATATCTTTCTTCAAAAACAAGTATTTTCAGCTACTGCATCAGCAGTTTTAACACTTAACTTCCTTCAGCTAATTACAGGTCACAAGAGTATGTAAGACTCCAGAAAACAGTGTATTTAGCTTAAAATACGACCATCTGCTGTCTATTCAATGTCCATTCTCACTACAGAAGACCATCAGTAATCTCGGGCACAGCTTGTCCACGACTTGTACYTAATGGTATCCATGGGATAAACAAGAGCTTGAACAGACTCCAAAAGGGACAGGAGCGAGCTAGGGGGTTACTGCAAGGGATGAGCCACTAGCTTCCTTCCCACTCTTAAAAGCCCACAGTGATTGCCTTTATCTGTAGAATCATTTGTCTTGATCATTAAATACTCCTAAATCTTATAAAAAAAAAAAAACAACGCATGAACCTATAAAAGCCTTAGAAAACGTAGAAACAGAAAACAAAAGCGCAGAGCAGGATCCATTCAGCCCTAACTCTGCTAGGAGCCTCACAAAAAAAAACTTCTGTAAAGACTTTTTTTTTGGGGGGCGGAGTATTTTTGGCTCGGAAACRCTACTGCTCAGCCTTTCTGACTAATAATCTTATTTACGTAGGAGAGCATCCAATCACYGGGGCCGGAGCTGGGGAAAGGCCGCACTCGTGATATCCTCTGGCTCCCAGCAGGAAGTTTGGGAGGTGGAAGTAATGTCTAACAAAACAAGGTGCTGGAAGGAGATGGGAATTCAGACATTTTTTTTTCTGGTCTGAGATGACGGAGCTAAACGCAGCAGCTTAAGAACTGAACCTGAGCCTGGGCTGCTCGTAGCAACTGCTGCCTCTGAAAGCAGCAACCGGGGCTTGGGAGGGAGGAAAAGGGGAAAAAAAATACATTTTATGCCTGTGATGGAGAAGTTGGAGCAGACAATAAAACCAACAGCTTTATTAAGCACTGGTTGTGACTTCCTGTGAAACAGCTGGAAACCTCCGAACTAGAAATTTATCCCTAAGGGAGATGCCTGACAAAACCTCCTGAAGGTCAGGAGGAGACACTGGGAACTGTTTTGCAAGACACGTYCTCCACTAATAGCCGAATTATTTCATTTCCTCCCTCCTTCTGATACCTATCTGATTAGCTTCTGAGGAACTGCCCTCATTTTGCACTAATGAAACCTGCTGCCTCCATCTCGGATCCGAAGGTCTCCCTCGCCCAGCAAGGCGCATCCATTCCCCCTTCAAACAGCGCTAAATCGCCCTAAAAYGGGGCACTGCAGCGGCCTGCCGGTCTCTCAGGGTCACAGGGGCACCAGCTGGGAGGGCTCACAAGAGAAAAGCCGCAAAACGCCCCAAACCGAAGCCTCGCCGGCCACAAAGCGCCCCCAAACGCGGGCTCCCCGCACGCCGGTACCGGGGCAGGGCGCGACATGGCGGCCCGGGCAAGCGGAGAGCGGGACGCGCCGCTTCCAGGGGCGGAAAAACGAAACCGCTCCCCCTTCCCTTCCCTCCCGCCCCGCGCGGCGGCCGTTAGGGCCGTTAGAGCCGTTGGCGGCGCCGCGCCCCCCGCCCGCCCGAGCCCCGCGCACAAAGGGCGGCAGGGAGGGAGGGAAGGAGCCCCAAGGGGCGCGCGCGGGCAGCAGCCCCGTCCCCCGGCGCTCACCTCAACGCGGGCAACGGCAGCGGAGGAACCTCAGCGGGCAGTGGGGCGGCACTGAACGGCTCCCGGCGGCGGCAACGAGGGGGCGGCTCCGCGCATGCTCCGGCCGCGGGAGCCCGTGGCTCGGCGCGGAGGGGCGGCCGTCGCCGCGGGGCGGGAAACGGCGCTGACGAAACCTATCCCTATCCTCCCCCGCCGCGCTTTCCACTTTTTATTTATTTATTTTATCTCGCTTTATTTCGCTGACTGCCTGTTTGGGCGTTTCGTTTTTCCCCCCCCTCCTTTTGCATATTTATAAAGTCGAGCCTGACGCGCGGCTCAGCACCGCACCCAGGGCTCCCCCGGCGCCGTGTTCATGGGGAATACCGCACGTCTCCTAGGGCTAAAACGCCCCGGGAGAAATGACGCTTCTTGTTTTTACAAACTCGGCCCGTTATCCTGGCTAATTCCTCAGGCAGGTAGCCCTGCTGACCACCAAGTGCCAGGGCAAAGCATGGGAGGGGGTTGCTGCAAACAGGAAAAAACAGGAGGAAGGAAGGGTAAGGGAAGGTCCCTTCCCCCTTAGGCGCAGTTACATAATTTCCCCTGCCCATGAAAGTATCGCTGTGTTTGWACAGATTTTGTTTTAATCTGCATCCCGCAGCCCTCCCAAGCTCTTGGGATCTGCCGGGTTGTGGGTGCCCCCAGGGCGCATCGTGGGGTGCRTCGGGTCCGGGCAGCAGAGCCGCACTCGGACGTGTCGCCTCTCCGGCCGCTCGGGAGGTTTCSGTTCTACAGCCAAGCGCCAGCCAGGTCTGTCTGGAGGTTTCTGTTCCTATTGCCAAGCACCAGCCAGCTCTATCTGGACCGTTGCCTCCTGAGCAGCTACAGACCCCTGAAGAAGCTTCTAAGAGCAAATTAGGACTGTGACAGTGTGAGCTCATAAAGTGTCTGTTAGGCACCTTTTGGGCAGGGAGGATGGAGAAAGGGAGAGAATCTGGCAGTGACTTCATCCTGGCAGTTGCTGCTAAATTTTCTGTGTAGTAAAAAGTGTTTTTTAATATAAGCAAAAGGCTTAAAAGTGTGTATCCAGCTTGTCATCCTATGATGAGCTCAGTGCAGGTAAGGCCCTGTGACCACACTGGGTAGTGGTACATGATCGATGCACATCTTCATCTTACCTAGAGGCTGTGACAGAACATGCGTCGGTTTTTTATTTATAGTGATGACCTAGTCAAAACACTGGGCTTTGTATGGTGCTCCATACAGTGTATTATTTGTTTGGCATAGTTTGGGTGCTGTATTAACGACATGCAATCTAAAAATAAAAAAAAAAAAAAGACTAGGCAGGCCAGTAGCTCTGGTACTACATCCAGCTGAGGGACTGAAAACACCTACATGGAAATGGAAGTGAATCTCACCATCTTCCTCTGAACACATCCTGAAACACAACCATTAAAGACCCGAAATGATAACAGCATGAGAGTGCAGCCTGGCTTACGCCTTGGTTTTGAGCAGAGAAAGATTAACCTTGTTATACTGAAAAGMATTCAATAAAGTCAATAAAATTTATTCAATATTCAAAATTTACTAAATTCAATAAAAATATCATTTTGATGATCAAAAATGATCAAATGATGATCAAAAATCATAGGAATGAAATGTAACAAAACAGAAAGATAATTATTAGAAGAAGGCTCTTACTAATCTGTGTTGCAGATGCAATGTTCAACGTGTTTCAAGCGTCTTCATTCTTTGAACACAGAGACCAAAGGGCCTTGCAGCCACAATCCCGCTCTATCCCAAAGCTTGACTTTCCTTCCCAGAGAAACCAAGTCATGAAAAGTGATATGCACATTGCTCAGTCGGGAGCTGAAGGCAAAATCTGGGAGAGGAGAAATGCTTTTGTGCTCCAGAGTTTGAACKCTGGCAGCAGAAGGACATGGTTGTACCTTTCTATGAGCTCTGTGAATATTGGGGAGCTCTAAAAAATTGGAGCTAAAACACCCAAACAAGCAGCTTGCAAATAGTTCCTAAAGTATTTGCAGAAAGGTTTCCAAGATTACSTATTGTTTGAGGGAAGTGGAACAATGAACAGTGTTACCAGATTTTGTTCACTGAATTGGGAACACCCATGGTGGTAATTTTCCRTTGTTGATATAATATTATTATTTTTACTAGTCAAAGGACAACTTTCAAAGAATAATAGAAACCACCAGATGAGCAGCTGCAAAAAATCTTAATCCAATAATACACAGTAATCACCCAGAAATTCACATTCCTCCTTGGAAGCTGGAAGTGAATTGTGCTTGGATTTCTTGGGAAAATCTCCGCCCTTGCAACAAGGAGACATTAAASCTGGTCACTGAATACATGTAAAATCTGTGCAAGAGAGCACCCTGGCAGCATGAGAGGTAGAATAACTGTATTAAAGAGGCTCCTTGCCTCTAGTYAGAGTGTGAGTTAACTGCCCTGCTCTAAGCTGGGTGCAGAGGAAGCCCCAATGAGTGTTTGCCTTTCTAGAGCAAACCTGCTCCAAGCCAGCTGAAGTAGCTCTCAGGTGCTGCATTGCGCTGAGYGATGATTCACACCTATTCTTTGTAAAGAAGCATCTGGGGAATTTGCAAAGATTAAAAAAAAAAAAAATCCAGCATGAAAAAAAAACTATTATGCCCAATAAATTACAGTAGGAGGGCTTCACAAGCCAAGTATTAACATTAGAAATTGACAGAATTAAAATTAATTTAGGTTYGGATTCCCTATTCATATGTTAAAGATCCAGTCTTTCCATGACAAAATAACTATTTTCACTCCCATCAGCCCATGGCGTGGATGGTGCTCAGCGAACATACCATTTTCCAGTGTCCAGTTTGCAGTTCTGTGCCCTGATTTCCTGCCTGCTACTCAAACTGGAGTAAATATTGGAGATATTTAGGTTGTCATAGTCTTTTCTTAGTTACAGACTGGTGTTTGGTTGCTTTTAAACGATCTTTTAAACCATTTTTTTTTTTCTTTTCTCTTCTCCCTGATGTAATTGCCAAGATACCGTCAAGGAATTGAGACAATTAACTCAAATGTGCTCATAATGCATTACTCTGAGCTGTCAGTTGTACAAACTTTTTGTGAGAATTACTGAGCAATATTTGCTAAATCAGAACCTAAGTGACTTCAATCAGCGTCACTTCTGCAAATTAAAGTTCAGGACCTCTACAGGGCCACTGAAAAATGAGAAAAACACAGTGGTCACTTGAGAAGAGTCTGGCTAAAGGATTTGTTTGTCATCACGCAGGAGCCCCGTGGTGCAGGTGGGAGCAGCATGGGATTCTGCAGGGCTTAGTCCCTGTGATCCCTCTCCTCATTCATTAGATACCTTTCAACTTTTATAGCATATGAAGCAACCGTCCTGCAGACAAGAGACTTCTTCATGTGCAGCCCTGAAACAAGCCTAAGGGAGAGGAGGCAGGAAGGGACTCAGGAAGTGGGTGGAATGGAGCTCCGTGCCTAGAAGCAGAAGGGGTGACTGTGCTTTTCCTGCACCTAGTCCACGACTGGGAGTTCACTGGGAAGGACTTTAATAAACTAAACAGCTCCGTTCTACATCTGACTTATACATTTTTGTGTTTTAAAATCTATATCCTATGTTTTAATGTAAGAAAACAGAAACTGGAAACAAGCTGTTAACTATTAAATCCTGCTTCTTCAGGAATTTGTTTTCCTTTCTCTTGATATCTCTAAAGGAATGCTATCTCTATTCACCATAGACATTTCTCATCACTAGACTTGCTCTAGTTCAGGTAGAAGTTGGGGTCTACGATTCAGGCACCACTGGTGAAGTTCTGTGCTCTAGGGGAAGCCTGGCTGTGTACTACACATAGGTCCAGCTGAGATTTTACTGCATCATGATGATAGGCTGCACTCAGCTGAAAATGAAAATACAGCAGGRATTTTAATGCTACAACATTCATTAAAATCACTAGGCCAATCTTGCTGTGGCCATAGCTGCCCCTAGGGAAGATCCTCCTGTTCCAGGTCTCCTTCGCACTTCGCTAATGCAGGGTTCAGTGGTAGCAAGAATGGCATGAGGAAATCTTGGCTCTGGGATTCAGTGGGAGCCTGGTATATTTTCTTAAAACACTAATGAGGGTATTTTTGAACAGACACCAGCCTCTAAACTGCGGTAGCTGACACAGAGTCAGCTGTTCTCCCCTTGCTGCTTTTGCTATGGGAACTGCAGTCCCTGGCAGAGGGAGAAGAGGAAGCTAAAGCGTCACGGTGACTCTGCTACAGCAACATACACAGAAGGCATCTGTCCGAACCGGCGCCCTTGGGGCCCTCAGAGGTAACGTGGCAGTTTCAGTGGCCTTGGGAACTCAAAGTGCCCCAAGTGCTGAGAACCTGGCTGTGTTTCTGAGTCCCCTGCGGGTGCAGTGGCGGGGGCAGTGCGCCCGGCCCGGCCTGCAGCGCCCTCAGGGCCCCGTGACTCCACACTTTCTGCTCCCGCCGCACACGAGTCTTTGGAAGCCGGCCAAGCCGGCACTTCTGAGATAATGGAACATTATTTATTCCTATTTGTAAACTTGCTAGCTGTTTCACAACCTCTTTTGCCTTGGGTTTTGCCTATGTCTTCACTTCTGGTCGTCTCTTACATCTACCGTCATCCCTCATCCATTAGTTCTTTCTTTTTCTTACATTACCATGTTCCTTTTGTAAWTTTTTTTTTCACTTCTCTTTCTCCTTGTGGTTAAAGTCTTTTCATCTGCAAAGCAAAGCAATCACAAAAGGCAGTTTTGTGATCCTTCCCTATTTGGGTTAACAAGTATGTACAAATATAGAGAAATAGATGGATAATATGYGCTATTCCAGCAGTTCTAGGAGTGAAAAGTCAGAATTACTTGTTAAACATCAGCACAGATATTGAATTCATCTCCCTGGCTTAAGTCATCCTGCTCTRAACAGTAACAAGGGTAGTTATTAATTAAGGGTAGCTCTTTGTTCATGTCACTGCTCCATCATACTCACAACKCACGTAGCATTTCTGTCCAGCAGTCCTTGGGGCTGAATTGCTGGAAGGTC